CTACATTTCTAACCGTCCATCCTATCGACACACCGATTGCTCTCACAAGTTTCTTTAATCTAGTCGGAGGTGATCGTGATGATCTCCGAGATGTTTGGGGTTCTTTTCTTTTTTTTTTTATGTTGCCCCCAAATGGCCCGTTTTCGCCTTTTTCCTCACATTTTGTTGTCTACATTTCTAACCGTGCATCCTATCAACACACCAATTGCTCTCACAAGTTTCTCTAATCTAGTCAGAGGTGACCGTGATGATCTCTAAGATGTTTGGGGTTTTTTTGTTTATATTGCCCCTAAATGGCCCTTTTTCACATTTTTCTTCACATTTTTTTGTGTAACTCTTTAACCATGTGTCCAATCAATGCGCCGTTTCCTCTCACACATTTTTTTTAATGTAGGCCAAGGTGCCTATTATGATATCAAGGATGTTTCGGTGCTATTTCCAATGTTTGGCCCCGAGTGGGCTATTTTCCCCTTTTTGCCTCACAATTTGTTCTCTAATACTCTCATAACACATACTTAGAAAATATGAGGGAGAAGAACTCCGAAAATATGAGGAAGAAGGAATATATTTCAGTTATATTCAAAACTTCTTATCTTACAAGACCAAATGACACTCCTTATATAGGAGATATTACAAACATCATCATAACCCATTATATGCCACTTACATATTATATATTACCACTATCTACCACTATCATATTATATACATGCCACTATCTACCACCAACACCACTATCATATTCTATACATGCCACTATCTACCACAAACACCACTATCATATTATATGCATGAACACAATTTCCAGCACCGTCCATGGCGAACAACGAAGAGATTCCGCTGTCCGCTGTCGACGGAGTTACCCCGGAGTCGGGCAGACGGAGAGAAGGACATCCCACCATCATTCCTCTGATGGCGGACCTAGAGACTTCTCCAGGAGGACACTCAAGAGACGCGTGGGATAAGCGTGGAAGAAGTTATGGTCATTCACAGAGTCCAGACGGTCATTGGCGGCGGAGAGAATCGTACGCCAAACGTCTAGAACACAAGCTAAGGGACCAGGACGCCGTCATTCGGCGAATGGCGGCGGAGATGGAGGAGCTGAAGCGGCATGTCAAAGGGAAGGGTGTAGCTGGAGGGGGAGACCACGGTGAGCGCACCCAACCCCGCCGTTCAGGCAGTCAGAGTCAGCGGCACACTCCTTCCATTTCTATCACCAGAAGTTACAAGGTTGCAGATTCCGACGTGCATGTAGAGAAATCCAACGCACAAGATAGCACTTACCAGCTCTTACGTCCGGTGACGACGTCAAGGTGCTCCTATTCCGCTCGTTCAGAGGATTTGCGGGCAGTTTTGAAGGAACGAGTTCGCCGGCGGAAGGCTCAGAGGGTGCCGGCGTTCCAGCGGCTATCCTATGGGGTTCACGCTAGCGAGGAGGTCGGAATGCCTCCACCCCACCAAGCAGCGCCATTCCTTCTAGATACAGACTTGGCAAGGCTGAGTGCCACCCCTTTCTCCCTGGAGATAGAAACAACACCGCTTTCCGCTGGCTTCCACCAGCCTAAGTTCACGCTCTACGATGGAAAAATCGATCCCTATATGCATGTAAGCCACTTCCGACAGGTCATAGCCGGACATAGGCGGAATGACGCTCTTATGTGCCTTATCTTCCCGTCAAGTTTGGGCGTGCTGGGCTTGAAATGGTTTGAGAGGCTGTCGGAGGGGAGCATAGAAAGGTGGCAGCAGTTGGCCGAAGCCTTTGTGACGCGCTTCAAAACCAACACCAAAATGCCAAAGGAAGTTGACCACCTTCTCAGTGTCAAGATGGAGCCGAGCGACACACTGAAGGCATATAACTCCAGATATTGGGAAACCTTCAACGAGATCTTGGATTGCCCGGTCAACCTGGCAATCACCCAATACAAGCGCGGTCTCCCGATCGGATATAGGCTGAGGGCCTCGCTTACAATGAACCAGCTGCCATTCATGGGGCAACTAATGCAGCGCATCAATCAGCACATCCGAGTAGAGGATGATGCAACGGCGTCCACCGTGAAGACAACCCCGGTGGCAACAGACAAAAAGGCCTTACAAGATAACCGGTCTGGCGGGTAAGGGGGCATACCACTTAGAAGATTTGGATGGCAAAGGCGTACCCCGGCCATGGAATGTGGCTAACCTCAAACTATTATATTCTTATCGTTCTTAAGTAATTTTTTGAGGAAGAACTTGTTTCCCCTACACTTCTGAATGTGATACTCTTTTTGTCAATGTAATAGAAATGAATTACTTTTGCTGAAGAACTTTTTTGATTCAGCCGAGATGATTTACTCCGGCCAAATGAGTTGATGATTTGCTCAACTCTGAAGATTCAGCCGAGATGATTTACTCCGGCCAAATGAGTTGATGATTTGCTCAACTCTGAAGTTTCAGTTGAGATGATGTACTCCGGCCAAATGAGTTGATGATTTGCTCAACTCTGAAGTTTCAGCCGAGATGATTTGCTCCGGCCAAATGAGTTGATGATTTGCTCAACTATGAAGATTCAGCTGAGATGATTTACTCCGGCCAAATGAGTTGATGATTTGCTCAACTCTGAAGTTTCAGCCGAGATGATTTACTCTGGTCAAATGAGTTGATGATTTGCTCAACTCAAGGCTCTAGTCGAGATGCTTTATCCCGGTGGGAAGCTCAGAGGATGGCGGTGCGAACAACCGTGGAAGAGATCTAGGGAGTTTGGTTTTGGAAGATGTCAGTCAGAAGGCCGAGGAAAAGGGCAATTGACAATCATTTTGGTGGAAAGACCAGAGTTCCTTGCCGAGCTGATCTTGCTCGCCAAGAAGGAAGTCGCGGAGTGAACCTTGCTCGCCTTCTTTGGAGTACCTTGCCGAGCTAATCTTGTTCGCAAAGAAGGAAATCGCCGAGCGGACCTTGCTCGCTGACTTTGGAGTTCCTTGCCGAGCTGATGTTGCTCGCCAAGAAGGAAGTCGCGGAGCGGACTTTGCTCGCCTTCTTTGGAGTTCCTTGTCGAGCTGATGTTGCTCGCCAAGAAAGAAGTCGCGGAGCGGACCTTGCTTGCCTTCTTTGTAGTTCTTTGTCGAGCTGATCTTGCTCGTCAAGAAGGAAGTCGCGGAGCGGACCTTGCTCGCCCTTTTTGGAGTTCCTTGCCGAGCTGATGTTGCTCGCCAAGAAGGAAGTCGCGGAGCGGACCTTGCTCGCCTTCTTTGGAGTACCTTGCCGAGCTAATCTTGCTCACCAAGAAGGAAGTCGCGGGGCGGACCATGCTCGCCGACCTTGGAGTTCCTTGCCGAGCTGATGTTGCTCGCCAAGAAGGAAGTCGCGGAGCGGACCTTGCTCGCCGACCTTGGAGTTCCTTGCCGAGCTGATATTGCTCGCCAAGAAGGAAGTCGCGGAGCGGACTTTGCTCGCCTTCTTTGTAGTTCCTTGCCGAGCTGACCTTGCTCGTCAAGAAGGAAGTCGCGGAGCGGACCTTGCTCGCTGTTAGAATTGATGTATAAAGAAATAGAGAATTGTATTATTGATTGATTAATATATTGATATCTATTACAATGATTCATGATTCCTATATATAGAAGAGGGTGAGTGTGTAGTAGGTGATGAGTAGGTGGAGAGTAGGTGAAGTAGGTGAGTGTGTAGTAGGTGGTAGTGGTAGGTGTGTAGTAGGTGGATTTTAACAGCCTCCCGCAAACTCAAGGGGGATAGGAACTAACCAACTTGAGTTTGGAGAGAGTAACAAAACAAGAAAATACATAAAAATAAAAGAGGATACTCTCAAAACCCGAGATCATCTGGTAGTGAAACATCATTGAGGACATCACTAATCGCCGCCGCGGCCAAGACTCGGGCAAACCATCCTCTTTTTTTCTTCTTTGTAGGCTCAGCCTGTTCTTGCACTTGCACCAGAGCTGGAGGAGGACAAGGTGAATTATACTGCCCGGCTGCTGCTGCTGCCGCCCCATATGACCGTGGACCCATGACTGGAGGAGGATAACAAGCGGTCAAGCTAGTCATCGCCGCCATAGCAGGTGGCGGAGGAGACAACCCCGCTCCGGCAACATTCTCATCTTCCCACTCAAACATGAAATTGAGCGTACCGTTGGGATTTCCAGAAGGGGTTCAAACATGATAGGTTAGACTACCCTCGATCGAGCCCATCAGGTCTTTAACCTTCACAAACACTTCTCCGATGACCTTATCGCCATCGTTTTGATCGCAACAGTTGAGCTCGAACACGACGATCTGGGTCTCCGCGGACTCCTTACCTAAGTTGAAAGTGATCTGACCGTTCCAGGTCGGGTTCGTGTCACCGTCTCTGTCCACGGTGGTCTTCGGCTTTCCACCGCCAGAGATGAAGACGTACGCGCACACCTCCATCTTGTTCAAAAGTTGGACTCTCTGGAGATCTTTCGCTGATATGAACGAGATCTTCAGAGTGCGTTGATTCTTCTCCATGGTGATCTTAATTCCTCAATTCAAACGGAAACAGAACCCTAAAATGAGAGAGAGAGAGAGAGAGAGAGAGCGCAGGGAGGAGAGGACTGGGGGAGTATAGACCTTTTTTTGGAAGTTAGGTCGGGGAGTATAGACACTGAAGAAATGGTCGTGGAAGATTGAGGCTCATTTTGGCAACAGTTAAAAAAGTAATTTTTTTGGGAAATTATTCAATACTTTCGGAGCACTGCATGTTCATACTCCAAACCAATCACCAATTAGTTAGTCCCATGTTGTCCCCCCATCTCCAACATAAATCGTGGGCCCTCGTGTCTCTTCACCAATCAAAACCTTATGGAACACCACGTGTCCATACTCTGGGAGTACTGAATAATCACCCAATTTTTTTACCTTCAAAAGTTAGTTTTTTTAAGTTAAAAGAAGTCAGTTTTTTATTTATTTTTTATTTTTTTTGGTTGAATAATAATAATAATAATAATAATAATAATAATAATATATATGTATAGATAGAAAAGAAAAGAAAAGAGAAAAAAGAAAAGAAATTGAATTCAATGTATTTATATGTATATGTTGACATATTAAAATATAGATAGAATATATGATGATGAGGTTTGGGGTGGAAAAAATGATAAATTATTTGAAGAAATAGTAGGTGGTTCATAGGAGTAGTCCCGTGGGTGATAAAAAAGAGGGAGTGGGTGATATAAAAAAAAGAAAAGAAAAGAAAGTGGATGAAAAGTGGGAACCAACCCATGTGGGATTGAATGCTGCCCAATGATGCACTCTGGCTCAATTGTGCAAGACCGCAAAAGACTATAAGCACCAATTGTCACAAACCTTTCAATCAATATCTCTGCGGGCAGTCCTGTGGGAGAAGACCAAGCTGCGTGGACGACGCACCTCTCCTGCACATTGGAACAGAAGCCAACAGTGATCTTGTTGAGATCGCCTCGAAGGACCGATCCATTCCAAACGGAGGCTCCATCGCAGATGGTGACCTGGCCGGCGAGCACGACGTTGGGGGCAACATAGGCATCGACGGCGATCTTGGGGAGCCACTGACCGAGGGGGAGGATCTTCCTCTGTCCTCTGTAGTCCCATTTCAGGTCTTTGGAGAGACGAAGCTTCTTCCTGGAGGTATCACCGTCTTCTTTGTCGCTGATTCCTCGAGATGAAGCTCTCTCGAGATAGAGATCGAGATCCTCTCCGTTGGGCTCCTCTCTCTCGCTTCTCTTCCCGCTGATACTCGAGATTGTGCTGTTCGGAGACGAAACTCCAGCTTCTTCCTCGCAATCGATCGTCGAAGGAACTCGATTCACGTCGATTCCTTTCAGCAACGATCTCGTCTCGACTCTGCAAGTCTCCGAGTTTCGATCGAAGGAAGGAAAGTTATCGTTCCATGAAGTCATCTTCTGAGGATTGAAAGGTGCGGAGGGAAAGGGAGAAGAAGGCGGCATGAGATTCAACTGTAGTGAGCTTCGATTCTCAGGAAAGCTCAAGCTCAGACTCAAACCCAAGTCTTCTTTCTCAACAGTCATCTTCTTAATCGATTTGTTCTTGAAAATCCCACTTGAAAGAGCACAGCACAGAGTGGTTAGGATAGCAGGGTTCAGGATTTTAGAGAGGGTTAAGGTCAACAGTGGTGGTAGATGAAGACGACCGAGACGGTGGTGTATGGGAGGACAACAGTGAGAGGAGGGGCAGTGAAGGTGGTGGACTCGAAGAAATTTCAAGGTATGTGTAGAAAATTCTAGCGGACTAGGTGGAGGTCCGGCGGACGGCTAAGGTGAGGTTGTCGCCCGCCGGTGAAGCGAAAAATATTAGGTTCTAAACCCGCTCTGATACCATGTTAGAATTGATGTATAAAGAAATAGAGAATTGTATTATTGATTGATTAATATATTGATATCTATTACAATGATTCATGATTCCTATATATAGAAGAGGGTGAGTGTGCAGTAGGTGAGGAGTAGGTGAAGAGTAGGTGGAGAGTAGGTGAAGTAGGTGAGTGTGTAGTAGGTGGTAGTGGTAGGTGTGTAGTAGGTTGATTTTAACACTCGCCTTCTTTGGAGTTCCTCGCCGAGCTGATTTTGCCCGCCAGGAAGGCAAGTTGAGGCTTCAGCCAAGCAAGCCAAGAAACCGAGCAAGAGGAATAGCGCGGTTGATGTCTTGCAAACTAAGGACCGAGGAAGAGTCTACCTCGGTCAGATCATGTAATCCCAGTCACGCTTGCGTGGACGGAATTAAGGGGCAATTGAAAGGGAGATTTATGAGCCGGAAGTGGGCCGAGATAAAAGCCGAGCAAGTTGAAGGCCTAAGGGCGTGTTGGGCCGAGATAGCTTAGGACTTGCCCGGAGTTGGGACCGCTCGGCCAGTGGCCGAACTACTCGCACCGGTGGTGACCGTGCAACTTGCGTTGCTCGGCCAGAAGGCATACGCCTTTGGCTCGGCAGGGAAGATCGTGCCAGAAGCTCGGCAGGAAAGCCTTTTGGTTGATCGGCGTGACCTTTCCGGAGCTCGACTTAGCTGGAATGCAGTCGAGCACGATAGGGACGGAGCTCGGCTATTGCTACACTTGGGCATGAAGTGCAGCCTGGATGTCGGTGGCCGCGATGCTGTACCCCGGTTGCTGAGCTCCCAGCAGAGTGGGTTGGCAGTTGGGTTAGGTAATGTGCAGCAAGATTTGTGCTAACAGATGGGATAGCAGCACCACGTGTCGAGAGACGAATGGGAGTAGATTTGGGGCGCAGAAGGTATATAAGCGGGTCTGCGCCCCCCATGCCCAGGGAGATGAACATTTGGTGAGATTTACACTAAACATAACTCAATCCTCTCTCTCTCTCTATCCCTGTGTGTGTGTCTAACTTGATCGTCGGAGGGGTTTTCCGGCCACACACCGCCGGGTAGCTCACAGCCGTTGTGCTCGCAGGTCGATTGGACATGCAAGAGCTTGGAAGAAAGGAGTACGGGCTTGCCGGAATATTTGCTCCCCGTACAGCATACATGAATCATGATTACCTCATCCATCTTGCTGCACATTGCTCGGAAATTTAAGCTGCTCTATGGATAAATGTGCAACCAACCATATTTGATTATATGTAATATCATGAGGAAACTGATCTGTGGCTTGTAATACTCGTGCAAGATTTATATAGGAGTTTTTGTTTTCTGTTTTGCTAATACCATTGTATACCTTGCGTGTACAAGGTTGCCGCCCCCATCTAGCTCTCTTTTTTTTAATACAATTACATTTACTTATAAAAAAAGAGAGAAAAAATCAAGTAGCTTGATCAAAAATGAACTTAATTGCATGTTTAAGAGTACAAACCAGTGTAATTTTAGAGGAACTGCTAAAGTTGTAAATTAAGTAATGCCTCACCTTGTGAAAAATACACACTGAAACCCTGACTAGAAGAATATAACTTTACTGCCGAGGTACCCGTCGCTGTTGCTTTCTTCATCACCATGTCCTGTTTCTTTTGATCCTCTTCTCGATTTGTCTTCCAATAATTGTTGCCTTATTCTTGATGTCAGGGAGTATTACATCCAAAAGGTTTTACTCAATTCATGTCTGAGAGAAATATCTGTATAAGTATGGCTGCTTCCATTCGGGATGTTTGCAGAAAAAATCCTGACAGGGGTGTGGACCTGATCCTGTCTGTTTCAGTAGGTATCCCTATGATTTATTTATTTATTTTTTAATATTTTGGTTGGTTGGGTGGGTGGGGGGTGGAAGAGGCTATGCATGCTGTTTTGAGCTCTCTAACTCTCCTTTGAAATCAACAGACTTGCATTGAGAGCCAAGATCCTACGATTCAAGCTCTTGGTTTTGAAAGCCTTTCCCATCTTTGTGAGGCTGACGTGATTGGTATGCTATTGTGTTTTATCTACAGATTTTTCTCTGCTTTTATTTGTTTCATAAATACAGTCTGAACTTGAAATTGTTGTTCTATCAGGTATTTTCTGATTATAGTTAAATAACTTGTCATACTCTGAGTACAACAACAATAACCCCCAAATAGTACACATTAATGTGTGTTTGGGAGGGAAAAGATTAGGTAGACACCTAACTTTTGGCATAGTGCACAAAGTGATTGTCCTGAGACTTGAACCCATAACCTCAAGGTTATTAGGCCAAGATTTTACCATTGAACCAATGGTCAAGGTTGTCATACTCTGAGTGACAGCTGAACAATAACAAAAACTTGGACAAGCATACTTCTCTTGATTCTTGTTTAATTATTATTTCTGCTTTAAATGGTAAAACATGGTTGAGAGGCTTTGACTTGAATTAATGTATCTGCATTTTGAAAAATTTGAAGCATATTTGAAAACTTTTCAGTTTAAATTTTACATTTAAAATTAATTTTTTTTTCTTTTCAAATTTAATGTAAAAAATTGTGTGTAAAATTATTCATATATGGAAGCTTTAATTGTGTGTGTTCATTAGTATGTGTTACAGTAATAAGGTTGTGTTGTTTCCCAAATTTGAGATGGAAGCCACTCTCAGCTGAACTTTGGGCCCGTCCATTTCCATTATTCATCTTCCATCTCCACTGTTCTTCTCCCTATGCACTAGGGATTTCCTTTGTTGCTGCTTTCCTCATGTAATAAGGCATGAAAACCCAAGATTCGACAAGTTTTGTCTCACTATGCTAACAATGGACCTTATTAGTGAGTTCGCTGAGTGCCTTTGAGAGACCATTCAGAGATGATGTCTCCAAGAGCTAATATCGGAGAAAACTGGACAATAGTTTTCCCATCTGAAATGTGTACTAGGTTTTCTTTTGACCTGTTGGAACTATGGCCTAGGCACAAGAAGTAATCATTTAAGCAGGTATCTGCAAGTAATTTCTATTACAATATAAAGTTAATGCCGGCTTTCAGGAATGTGGTTTTCTAATTTCTTGTCATTTATGAATTAGACCTTTTGATTAACTTCAAGTAATCTAATGACATGCTGATATTAAAAACATGCTGATATTAAATACATGTCTTTGTCTCTATTATATATTCCCCAGATTTCTATTCTGCTTGGGATGTTATCTCAAACAATGTGCTGGACTCCTCAGGAAACCCACAAGTTGCTCGCTGGTTAGTATGCCAGACTCGCTGTGTCTGATTTGTTTCACGGAATTGTTTTCAACCTTGAACTTTGAACTTTAAAATGTCCACGTATTCAGAAGCAAATAGGAAAACTCTGATGCTTGTATTAGCTGTTCTGTGATTGTACCCAGTACTGTATGCATGGATTTGGAAGTACTATAACCGGCCTACCAAAGTAACAGGATTGCAGACTGTGAATAGCATCATATTCTATTTCAATATTAGTGTTATTTGGTTCAATGTTTTTTGTAAAACCGAATTTAATGGAGGGTGGAAGTGATCTGGAGTTACTCCTCCTTTCCTCCTCTTCCTTAAATTATAGGGAAGGTAAACATAATAGTTTAGTGAACTTGCTTAATGACTTGGTTTTGAAGTTGAGACTGCAACCGTTTCTGTAGTATCCATTGATTTCAGTGACCAATTTGTAAAAGAATAATTTTTGCTTGTTTTATTGGTGAATGAAAATAGGATTGCAGAAACATATGTAAAATCAATAACAATGTGTTGAATTTGTCAACTTTTCCTTTGGAGAACCCTGATGGGCAGAGAGCTCCTTTGTGAATACCTTCTTAGCCTTTTTCTCCTTAGCAAGTATTTATTTACTCTCTCTCTCTCTCTCTCTCTCTCTCTCTCTCTCTCGATAAGTGCCTAAGTACTTCTTCCTTGAAATAGTGGTGTTGTTCTTGCTGATGCTTAATTTTGCTGCAAGGTTTTTCTTGCTGATCATGTGCCCACAAAATCCCCTGTTATTTGTTCATTTAATGACAGATGCTACTGTGATGTGGATATATTGCTTAATAGTTCTTCTATCATCTGTTACTGTTCTTACTTTCCTTTAAAATTCTCTAAATTTCATATTATGGGCAGTGCATGTCTTCTTTTAAGATGGGGTGCAGTGGATGCTGAAGCATACCCTGAAGCTGCGAGAAATGTTTTGCAAATATTGTGGGATGTTGGAACCTCCAGACATTCTGGTCATGGGTCTCTATGGGCAAAGGCCCGGGTCTCTGCTTACAATGCATTAACTCATTATGAGGTCAATTTTGTCAAAGTCAATAACATACCTATTGGCTCATTGTTCCTTGCAGTTTTGCTTACTTCTGTCTTGTGTTTTATTTGAGCTGGTTACTGATTTTATGTTTTTTACTTCATAGCGTTATGTATTCTCAGGTAGTACACATTCAAAAAAGCATTCCAGATTTTAAGAAAAGGAACATGGAACTGCTTACTTCTGAGACTGATCCTGAAGTACTAAGGGCCATGGAAGTATTTGAAGTCAAGATTATTAGATATGAGCACATGTAAATAAACATATTTATTAACATCTTTTGTCTGCTTCACATGTTTGGAAATGTTTGAAGTGGCTAACTTGATAACCTTTTGACATTTTTCTTCAGCACACGGCGCAGATTTGTAAAGGAGAAAAGAGTCGCTGTAAACAAGATTGAGAAGTTGCTAGATGTTTTCCCTCAGGTTATTTTTGCTTCAGGTAATAAACAGATTGTTGCTTTGTAACCCTTTGGTTGTGTCTTTCTGAGAAAATGCTGGTGTTTTTTCCAGTCTCCGTTTTGTTGGAGATAAATTTCAAAATAAAAATAAAAATTCTTGTTTGTCATCTTTGTGACCTCTTATGATCTTCCTTCCATTTGTCTCTCATTAAGTCTCTTGGTACCCCGCATTTGGTGGGACAAGTACCAGCAAGTAACCACGCTTTCTGCTTCTAGTTCTTTGTTTTTTGATCGGCAACAAAATGAATTTTATTGAGAAAAAGAGGAAGAAAAACAAAACAGGACAGGGAGTCCTCTACAAGCAAACCTGTGACTGTGTACAAAACAAAACAAAAACCAAGTATCGCATACCAACGCCCAGTCTCTAGAAATAAAAAATGTTCCTTGGTCATTTTAGTCTGGCACAATGTTTGAAGTACATGAATGTAAGAAAATACCAGAAAATGAAATATAATATTTTAGAAAAAGAAGACTTCCAGAAGAGATTCTAAATATAGAAAAGATGTGTTAAGTGAATAACTTCAGGAAAATCAGAAGAATGGGGCGTGGTTGATGTTATTGATTCTGAAGTAGAAACTTTATGATTTTGGTGAGACACATGTATGTAATCCCGATGCCCAGGTATTTATATGCATTTCATTTGCAGGAAATACCACTGGAGCTAGTCAGTTACCTGGCGCAGCTCTGTTTTGCCTTTCTTTGACTCCTAAAGACATGACCAAGGGGCAGCAAAAGTAAGATCACTATACCAATGCTTTATGCTGAAATCTTTTCATAGGGCTTTACCATACTTCTAATTCTTCATTAATTAGAGTTGAGGGACTGCAAGACGTACATGCTAAATACGAGAATGCACTTGTGGAGATAGCTGCATCTTTGCAGCTCTCGAGAAACATCCTGATTGCACTTCTTTCACTGCAATCTTGGAAACCCTTCATGCAACGTTGGTTGAGGGCTTGTGTCACCTTCCTTGATGCTAAGGCGCCATCCACTGTGTTGGATAAAACATCTAAAGCTGCTAATGGTATTCTGAAGGTTTGTTACCCTTCTAAAAGTAATGTCTGTACTGCACTTTAGTCACATCCAGCCCAATTTCCACGTATAATGCGTAAAGAATGATATGACACTTTATCCTTGGTCATCTTTCAGATAATAAAACGGCTTGCAGAGGAATCAATTCCTAGATCTGCAGAAAACATTACACTAGCTTTGGGTGCGCTTTGTGAGGTAAGAATTTCAATGTCATTATTTTTCCATTACAGTTAAGTTAGTGGGCATATGCTACTAATCGATTTTCGTGCTTTGGGAGGATTGAAGAGGGCCAAAGTGCTTTGGTATTGCGCCGTCTTTGCAACTTTTGGGTTTTATGGTTGGAAAGGAATGCATGTGTTTTTGAAGATAAACCTCGGGCGGTGGATGTTTTGTGGGATAAAGTTTGTTTTGTGGGATAAAGTTTGTCACTTAACTTTATTTTGGGCTTCAGTGAATTCTCTTTTTTTGGGGATTGCACTGTTTTTGCTAGTTGGAGATTAGTTGTCGGTATGTGACATGTAGAGTTCTATTGTTTGTAGTCGTTGGTTTTGGGTTATGTTTTTTTTCCTTTATTTTTCTTTCTTGTAGAGGATGCCTTATCCTCATTTCTTATTTTTGATTAATCAATACAATTTTGTTGTTGATCCAAAAAAAAATGTAACCTACTTGTTAAAATCCACCTACTCTCCACCTACTTCACCCACTTAAACCTACTCCACTAAACCTAACCCACTAAATCCACATACTCTCCACCTACTTCACCCACTTAAACCTACTCCACTAAACCTAACCCACTAAATCCACATACTCTCCACCTACTTCACCCACTTAAACCTACTCCACTAAACCTAACCCACTAAATCCACATACTCTCCACCTACTTCACCCACTTAAACCTACTCCACTAAACCTAACCCACTACACCACTACCACATCACCTACTCCACTAAACCTAACCCACCACCTACTCTCCACCTACTTCACCCACTTAAACCTACTCCACTAAACCTAACCCACCACCTACTCTCCACCTACTTCACCCACTTAAACCTACTCCACTAAACCTAACCCACCACCTACTCTCCACCTACTTCACCCACTTAAACCTACTCCACTAAACCTAACCCACCACCTACTCTCCACCTACTTCACCCACTTAAACCTACTCCACTAAACCTAACCCACTAAATCCACATACTCTCCACCTACTTCACCCACTTAAACCTACTCCACTAAACCTAACCCACTAAATCCACATACTCTCCACCTACTTCACCCACTTAAACCTACTCCACTAAACCTAACCCACTAAATCCACATACTCTCCACCTACTTCACCCACTTAAACCTACTCCACTAAACCTAACCCACTAAATCCACATACTCTCCACCTACTTCACCCACTTAAACCTACTCCACTAAACCTAACCCACTACACCACAACCACCTCACCTACTCCACTAAACCAA